CGGAGTTCCGCCGCGATGGCGGCCATGGCAGCGGAGGAGGAGGAGTACGAGGCGGTGCTGTGCGTGAAGCCGGCCGTACACGTCTACCGGGTGCCGCCGCGGGCCTCCAACCGCGGCTACAGGTGGGGTCTGACCCTCTCCCGTGGGCCCTGTCCCGCTGCGCGCTGCTTCTGTCCCCTCTTGGGTTACGTGGCGCCTGTCCCCTCCCTCCCCATGGGGTGTCTGTCCCTCTGTCGTGGGGGTGTGTGGGGTTCCCTCGCTGTGGGGCAACACGGCCTGGCCCTCATGAAGTATCCGCCCCCCGTTCTGGTCCCCAGCTGGGGATCTCCATCCCTCCGTGTGTTTTGGGGCTCCTCTCCCATCACTCCTCGGCCTGGACTATCATTAAATGATAAGGCTGTTCTAGCAGAGCTAGGCTGTAGCTAAGGCAGCTCAGCACCTTCAAGAAATTGTTTCTGAGCTGGAGATCCGTGGAAAGGGAAGTGAAACTTCTTATGCAATTCTCGCCTGGTCCCTGCTGGGACCCGACGCCTGGGTTTGCACGGGGGCAGCTGGTTTGGGGTGAAACGAGAGACACATTTTGATGAATCTACCTCCTGCAGCAAGCGCAGGTGCAAGCAGGTTCTTGAGCCGCTTTGGTACCATTAAGGAGGAGAATCGAGCAGATGAGCTCCGTGATGCATTATGGGGGCATTAAAATAGGTCGGTGCTGTTGTCTGGGAAGGCAGCTCAGACATCCGTCACTGTTTCCTCTTTCTTCAGAGCTGCAGAGTGGCAGCTGGACCAGCCAGCATGGAGTGGCAGGCTGCGGATCACAGCCAAGGGCAAGATCGCTTACATTAAGCTGGAAGACAAGACCTCGGGTAAGGAGGCGGGGAGGCAACAGCTCCATGCCTCTTCGTGGGGAGGAAATTGGCGCAGAGCTGCTATGTGTTGGTGTTAACCCACTCCCATTTCTCTTTTTCAGGAGAGCTTTTTGCCCAGGCGCCGGTGGAGCAGTTCCCTGGCATCGCTGTGGAGAGCGTGACGGACTCCAGCAGATATTTTGTCATCCGGATCGAAGATGGGAACGGTACGTCCCAGCACACAGGGGACAGGCTGGGGGAATCGCCTCAGAAAGTTTTCAGTGCCCTTGCTGCTCTTATTTGTGAATGATTCCTGCTTTCAAGGGCTAAATATTCCCTGTGTAGAGTGGCAAAGGACGAATTCTCTTGCTCCCACACACCAGCCGTGCTCTGTCCTTCACCGGGAATAAAAACAGTTTAATCTTGCTGCTCAGTGTTAGCGTGAGGACACCTCTCTGTGCAGGATTGTTGCCATGATGCCAACCTCCGCTTTAACTTGTTTACATTAATTTAAAGAACTGGTTTTACTAAGCCTATGCGTGCAGCCAACAAGCCAAAGATATCTCCAGTCCCGTATCTCAGTCTCTGGAGTCCTAGTGCCAGCTGGAGGAGGTGGCAGGCACGAGGGTGTGTGGGTGGGAAGGCCTCTCCCCTCCCTCTTCCTCTGCTGCTTTGTGATTCCCACCCTTATTCTTCCTCCTTCCTCAGGCCGACGTGCTTTCATCGGTGTTGGCTTTGTTGACCGTGGGGATGCTTTTGACTTCAACGTGGCTCTCCAAGACCATTTTAAGTGAGTTTCTGCCTCGCCCTGCGTCCTCTCAGCTTGACATTTTTTTTGCGGATGTCCGCCAGAAATGCTGGGGGAGAGGAAGCTCTGAGCTCCTGTCGCACTTGAGCAGGCAAGCGTGGTGTAAAGAGGTGGAAACGCCTGTTCATCTGCGCAGCCTTTGTGCAGGCAGCTCTCCCTCTCTCAAATATTTCCCAGTCTGTATTAGCAGAGTCCCAAACTGGGCTTCCCAGTCCAAAACTGGGCAAATTTCTTAATTCCTGTCCTCCTCTTTGCATGCCACCAGTAAGGGGCTGCTCCTGAGGGACCGGGATGCTGCTCCAGCTACTGGCAGGTGGTGGCTGTGGGGAGGATGGGATGTGCTGCTGGCACGGGATGGTTGGTGCAGCTTGAACACTGACAGCCGCTGGTAGGAATCATTCCCCTGGCACGTTGCTCTGGCAGACAAGGTCTCAGATCACATCCAGCACCTTTAAAGAGCTGCTGCCAGGCAGAGGGGATGATCCTGGGCAGGATTTGTCCAGGAGAGCCTCAGGCTGGTTGTTCATGTGCCCTTTTCTGCTTATTTCCTTCCTGCAGGTGGGTGAGGCAGCAGAGCGAGCTGGCCAAACAGGCTGAGAACCCTGATCAGGGACCCAAACTGGATCTGGGCTTCAAGGAGGGACAAACCATCAAACTCAACATTGCAGTGAGGAGCTTTTCCAGCTAAATCCACCCCCAACCTTTCCTTTGGGATGGCACAAGAGAGAGCAGTGGCTTCGCCCCGCAATCCCTGTGCAAGGGGAAGCCCAGAGCAGAGCCCTTTGTGATAACGCTGTGTGCAGTGATTTGCAGAGGGGTTGTGTTATTGTTCTTGGCTACAGAACCGAGTCTGTGGGTTCATGGTGGGGATTTGTGAGTTAAAAGCCATCCTTGGTTTGAGCACTTCTGCTGCGCCAGCTGTGCAATGTCACTGTGCAGCCGTGTTTTCCCCCAGAATAAAGCAGATTTCCCCCAGAATTTGGCTTTGTGCGAGCTGCAGCTGGGAGAAATCGCGCTCCGGCTCTGCATTTAAACGTGGCACCACCTAAGTTTCCCTCTCCTTTCAGAATATGAAGAAAAAGGAAGGAACAGCGGGGAACACCAGACCACGTCCTGCAGGTCCTGGGGGCCTGAGCTTGCTCCCACCACCTCCTGGAGGAAAATCTTCCGCTCCGGTTTGTCCTTCTGGAGAGCGGCCATCATCGCTCTCTGTGCCCGCCCAGCTCCCGGGCACCCCCATCACAGGTATGTGGTCATACAGCAATGACTGTGAAGCTCTTTAGACTCCTATAAGAGTGGGAAATAACTCTGGGTGTTTGTTGTCTCTCTTTCTGATTTTCCTGCCCACCGACAGATGCCCTCTTGGCCTGGCCGCAGCCCACTGCTGCTCCCGCTGCAGCCGCCGCTGATGTCTGGGGAGACTTTGCCAAAGCTTCAGGGTGAGGCCATGTGGGGGGTTGTGGGTGATCCAAATCTTACTTGTTTTGCTGAAAACCCGTTTGGGATTTAAAAGGGGCTCTGAACAGTATGTGTTGCAAATTCTCCAAGTTCAGTGCAGGTCTGTGGGTGCTGCCTTCCTCGCAGTGCCATGCCCCGTCTTCCCCTGCTACTCTGTGCGGTGGGAAGAGTTTTGAGGTGACCCCAGAGGACCTGTTTCTGGCTTCCCAGCTCCCTTCCCACATGCCACAGTCCCTTTTAATGTCTAAAATCAATTTTTCCCCCTCTTTTTCTCTCTTTCCAGATCGGCTTCTAGCCAGACTCAGGCAAATGCAGGCTGGGTTCAGTTCTGATCCAGGCCCCTTGTCTGCTTTTTCCTGTGTGGGTGCTGGAATCATCGAGATTCCTTCAGGACCAAAACTGGGGCTTTGGGACACCCTGCTCTTGCCCTTAAATCTCTGGCATCGAAATGATGAAATAAATGCTAGAGAGCAAAAGAACACGTGCCTTAAAACACTCCACACCAGCACCCTCCCCATCGGGGGCCTTTTATTTTCTGCCTGGATTGCAGCAAACCTCTGAGGCTTCTCCTTTTCACACAAAAAAAAAAAAAAAGCTGTTGGCTTCAGCACCTCTCCTGGATAATGAGAGGGCGTGCGAGTGCTCAGAGCAGAAGGACTCTAGCTTGCAGCGCTGCCCTAATTAAGGTAATTTTCACTAAAGGTTCATGCTCTAGAGCCTCCTTGGAGACTCCTCCGCTTCCTCCTCGCGTATTTGGGCTGGATAAATTCTTCCCTCGGTGGGGAGCATCCTCCTGGAGACACCTTGCTTGCAAAATCCAGACCCAACGTTCTGCTGAGATGCCAAGCGTCACTCCAGTTTTTTTCTGAGCGTTTAACTGTGCGGTGTGGAAGCCGGACCGCCGCGTTTTGATGCTGAAATTCCTGATTTCTTGCTCTGGGAAGTTTGTTTGGGTTTTTTTTTCCTCCTCTGTTTTGAAGAGAGGTTTTTACTTCTTTCTGCGGACTTTTTATTAAGCGATATATGCAATGAAGGACAGAATGGAGTTGGTCTCTTTGACAGAGCTGGCGTTGAGATTCCTCTTTAAACAAATAAATATTTTCTTACCTATTTATATTAAGGCCTTTCGGTGTACAAAGTCCTGCTTACATTTTTTCAGTCCCTTGGATTTTTATTCTTTCCATCTCCAACTTGATGAGCATTTTGGTTTCAGAGCTTAACTGTGCCTGGCAGTGAACGTGCAAACCCAGGTGAGAGATGTAACACTTCAAAGCAAATAATAAAATGTTTTTGATGCCAAATATGAATTTTTTTAGCCCCCAGTGTGGGCTTGGAGGGGTTGTAATGAGCTTTTGTGGTTCCCCCTCCTTGCTGGTGCTGAGGAGCGTCAGTCAGCGAAGCACAACAGACGCTTGTTGCTTAGCGCTGGTTTTATGGTTGTGAAGGACTCGGCGAGGGGAAGGTAAGGAAAGAAATGAGGGAAAAAGAGGGTTTCTTGTGACCCCAAAGCGAGGGGGGGGGGAGCCTCGAGGCAGCTCCCACTAGCTGGAGAGACCTGAGATGCCCTAAATCCTGGATCCCATCTGCTTGTCCCAGCGCCGTCTCCCCCCTTGCCGTTAATCTGTGGCTTTTGGGCAGGAAAAAGGGCCCTTTTTCTTGGGGAAGAGAGCGGCTGGGAGACCCCAACCCTCTCCGGAGGGTGGCTCGGGGTCGGAGCTATGATTTATTTTGGGGGCAGCATGCCTCCAGCCCCTGGTAGTGGGGCGGGGTTTGAGCTCAGCTTGGGGATTTACCGGCAGCTTTTAAGGGCAAGAAGCCCTTAATTACTCCAGGGGGTAAAACTTCCTGCTCTGGGGTGCCAGCGGAGGCTCTGGAAGGAGGGGGGAGCCTCATCCCGCGGGGTGTAAGGGGGGGTTAATGCCGCTTTGCCCCGTAGCAACGCTGGCACGCTCCACCCCAAAGCTTTTCCTGCCAGAGCAAACCCCTGGGCTTTAATGAGCTTAACGAGGGCCACGGCTTAACGAAAGGGCTGGCTTTCTCCAAGGCGCTCCTTTCCCTGGTGGGAACCAGCACCATCCTGCCGGGGGGGGGGGACAGCACAGCAAAGTAAGCACATTTCCACTGATTTGGGGCACGGGGAAGCGCCGGGCACTGCTTTTTTTTTGTATTTTCCTTGATTTTGCTCATTCCCCTCTCGCTGAGAGCCACATGGCTTGGTTTTATTTACCAAAGCCCTGCTTGGCCCGGGGGAGGTTTTGGGCTGTCTCTT